GGGGGGGGGTGGCAAAGGAGCTATGCATTGAAGGCAATAGCTTTGATGCATGAGCGCCATTGAGGGCGCGACTGGGCCATGTCTGATAATGTCTCTAGCCATTAATGTGGCCCGTCTCGGGGTCCCCATCCAGGAAGACGGCGAAAATATTGATTCCCGAACTAATTAACCCATTTAAACTGTTATTTATTCGTACAGTCGACAAGAGATGAATAGCCAACGGAAAAGGTCTAAATTATGACAGCATTGTATGACCTGAGGAACCCAAACATCTGATATTTCTCGAGTCTAACTCTAGGTACACCAGAACATGACATTTCACTCAGCTGCAGGTGATCTTGGTGAGGTCTGATATTTTTTTCAATAGGTTTTACATCGTTCTTCAGATTCTTTTGGACAAACTGGCAGCTGTAGCCTAAAGTGAACCGTTTCTAGTTTGATTTAAAATGATTTGTCCGAAAGTGTGGTGATCCTCACTTGTTCTGGTTGCTTTATTCCATCTCACTCAACCATCAACGATGACGAAAAAAGTTTGACAATCACTGTTTCACTAATTTCGGTTATTAGCCGAGGGTCATGAGAGCTGGATTCAAATAAATATCCGTGTAAGTGTTTGAACCCCAGATTATCTCGGAGTTTCCATGCTTCATGTCTTTGAGGGGGGAATCTTCAAGGAATCTAAATTTTGCGACAACTGTTCCCTTGGCAGTTGTTCCAAATGGATAACTTGCTCTGTCTCCTACCACATAAGACATCTGTCTAACATATCGTCCATATTTGGTCACCTGGTGGTAATTCTCTTCACCCCCCTCTTCTCGCCACAGGTGACGGATCTCTGGATTTCGGCGAATTTCTTCGCGCAATGACCGAACATCACTTTCAACCGCCCGATATACTGACCTCAAGACAGATAAATGAAGAAATCTATCGTCGAGTGTTTGCAGTAAGTCGAGCGGTTTCCGCAGTTTAGAGAATACCACTTTCTGAGTTGGATAGGATCCGTTATTTTCCGGGATCAGCATCCAATGAAGTTTTGCACGGCCAATGGCGCGGAACCGGGTTATGCTATCTCCACAATTTTAAAAGCCACGAATTGTTGGCTTTATCTGAACTTGCACGGCAATTGGAGATACACATGCACCCTCCACTGAAGTGTTATTGCAGTCTTTCACTATATTGCGATAATCACTAGGTGACACGGAAGCTCCATCATGAGCGCGAGACCACTGTTCCTTCTGGCCTACGTGCTCTATTCTGTTTGAGCCAGCGATTTCGGTCGTATTGATCTTAATTTATAAAAAAAAACGATATGACAAACACAAATATCAAACTGTAATGACAAATGTGGGGCAATCCCGACTCAGCGTAGCGCATTACCATATGAAATTATACTCTTTTGAAGAAGTCGGTACAAATCACCGTGATAGGAATGAAATGTTTATTCTTATACACCAAGCGGGTTTCTGTATTGCATGTTTTCAAAAGAGAATTACCTTCGAAACTCGGCAATAGGACAGAGTGCACAAGATTGGCAGGATTTACAGTTACAGAATATTCAATATCCATAAAATGCCAACTATGAGGCAAGACTGCCCGGGAAGTTAGAACATCCGATCTCAGTTTGCTGTTGTCATTGAAGGGCGAGGCAATATGCATTAAGGTTGATTACGATTGAAGCTGGGTTCTGTGTCTTTGTGAAAGTTCGGTCAAGTAGCAAGAGGTCGAACAGCACTGTTCGAGTCCATCGAGTGGGTGAAACATATTTTTGCGCATAAGAACCTGCAGTAAGGTAACGGTAAGCCATGAAGAAGGGATATATATCCTTGAATCACTTTTAGGGTATCCAGTACAACTTCACGATCACGACAAATATCTTCCTCCAAACCGGTGACTGAGAATAGAGACTGATAGTGTGCATTTTCAGTGTAGCATTAATTTGTACCGCAAGTACGGTGACTAACAAAACGGTGTGTGGTGATCGATTGCAGAGATCAAGTCACGTGTACATGTATTGATTTTGCTGCGTTTGTTATCCCTATTAGATTTTAGTCGGCCAAACGTTAAAGCGGTAAAACTCTCTAGCGGGTTTGAGATTGTCATCCAAAAAGGCTGCCTTTGCATGACTTTTTTCAAATGAATTTTGATTCAAAAAATGAAAGGATGACATCTTTTGCCGTTGTGGTTGAGAAACGTGGCGAGCCTGTGTAGTAATAATCAGATTTCGTTGTCTGGCTTGTAAGAAGACAAAGGGGTTTTCATCCATCCAGGGCACTAATAAGAGACAAATAACAAGATAGTGTTTTAACAAGGAGAAGATAGCTCTTAAAGAGTTGTTTGTCCTGCCCTGGAGCCGTACTGACAACGTTTTAAACTTCTTCCGCGATTTGTCGTAACGAATAGGATTGTGTGAATATACTACATAGTAACCTTAGTTAATTTCATTCAATAAGATCTTACTAGTCGCCAGCACGTGAGTTCGTCAGCTGTGCCTCTGGTGTGAAGGTGCTGAGGCAGGTGTGCAATTTCGAAGTTTGTTAGATTTCATCAAAACAAAACGTGTGTTACATCCTCGGTTGTTTTGACTTCGTGATGGCGGAGATGTTCCCTCCCTGGAAAAAAAGCAAAAAAAGCGAAATCCCGAACAGTGAACCTCTCAAAAGAGGTCTGAACGCACAGCTTCCCTTGCTTTCCTGCATCACGTCTCTTGCTCTTGTGGTTGCACAATGAAAGGCACATTTCGGGATCAGTCAACGCGACTTCTTTGCACAATCGTTTGACGCTTAACGTGCGCGATGACTCAAAATCAGCTATGGAGGCAAAAACAGTTGTTTTTCTGCTGGTATAAACGTCAAAACCCACGTCTACCGTGTGCTGGAGAAGATCAGGTGAACTTTTAGCATGAAGCATTCTGAGTCGAAGGCATTTTGAAAATATCCAGCAATAAACGCTTCTCCGTCGGTAGGCTAATGTGTTTTCATCACACCGTGCCTAACCAATTTAAGCATTGTTGGAGAACAAGCTTCAAACTTACGGTCTGTGGTATGTTACAATTTGCTCCACTACTTTACGTGTCTGCACAATCCCTTCAATAAAAACTCGATGGTAAAACGATTCTTCCGAAATTAGAAAAGTCTAGAATGGACGGTCGCACTATTTCGAATCCAGACGCCAGTCGATAGGGTGCACCTAAATTTTGGTTTTTCGATTCAGTGGTCCTGAATTTCACCCTGTTGCTAGTTGACGATGTAGGCGATCTCCGCCAGGAGGTTCTTTTAATTTTATTTGAAGTAGGGAGTCCTGTAGATTATTTTGGCACTGCAACCAGTTTATTTTGCATTAATTAACCCCCATTTTATGGCATTATTATGAGATTTTGAGGTACATGCACTGCCGTTTGATGGTACTTCTGATTACAGGCTCTTTGTTGAAATGACACCGCTCAGTTTCCAAATAAGATCAGTCGGGTTTTCTGTGCAGGCGATAGATAGCCTCTAAATGCCATATAAACGAGGCAAACAGGCTCAGTTTCCAAATAAGATCAGTCAGGTTTTCTGTGCAGGCGATAGATAGCCTCTAAATGCCATATAAACGCACGCAGGCAAACAGAAGGTACCCACCCAACTGCGCACTGATGATGACTCTTCGTATGGTGACGAAACGTTTGCAAGCCAATTGCCAAGCTCGGCGAACAGATCAACAGCCACCTGATCAACCAATAGGTTTACTCAGCGAGTAGCTCATTGGGGCTCGAACTGGACCGAGCTCTCTAGATTTGTACTGTCATTACTTCAGAGGCCACGCAGATATGCAAAAGAGTACGACAATAAAAAGTGAAAACTAAAGATGCAGTTGAATTTCAAGAGGCACAAACTTACTAATGCATGGTTTGAAAGGTAAATCCTGGCATGACAAAGTCGCAAGCGGGCCCGATAAAGTCTAAAACCCATTGCCGATTCAGGACTTCTCAAGACCGATCAGTCCACACTACTACGCGATTGCGAGGGATGGGAGGTTTTGGCGAATAGGCTGGAAAATCAGAAGTTTTTATGTGATATAGTTACAGCTTGTACTGATCTCATTCTGAAACCAAAATACCCTTGAGCGCAGTTAAATAATGTTGAATATAACTAACCTTCCTGCTTCTTTTCTAGGAGTTCGATTGCGATGGCGATGGATTCATTGACGCAAAGGAGTTGGAAAAGACAATGACGAGCTTGGGAGAGACGCTGAGCCCTGAGGATATCATGGACATGATGAGAGAGGCGGATACAGATTGTGATGGAAAAGTCAGTTTCACAGGTGAGTCGATGAGGTCCGTCTTGGTTGAAGGTTGCATGGCCGGGACAACAGATCCTAGGCGAATCATTCTACACCACAGATGCAGGCAAGTCCTTCTGAGCAAGACAACGATCAATGTGTTGTCGATATCCGCAGTGACATATGAGCAGTGATCACTATTTGATGGGCGGATTACCCATGATTGAATCACTTAAAAGACGATGAGTTTCTCACTAAAGAGTAAATAACTATATGCCTAGGAGAAAAATGTACTAAAGCAACGGAATGCTACCTAGGGCGGTTGTTCCAGGTATAAATACGTGAGCAAAAGCTGTTGGCGACATCAGTGTCGACACTGGGTCTCCATTGCACATGCCTTGCCTAGGAGAAAAATGTACTAAAGCAACGGAATGCTACCTAGGGCGGTTGTTCCAGGTATAAATACGTGAGCAAAAGCTCGACATCAGTTCAGTGTCGACACTGGGTCTCCATTGCACTTTGAATGCCTTGTAGTTGCACAAATTTCACAGCGTTCTCAAGGTTAGTTTGTAATATTGTCATTTATTATTGAAGATCATGGTCACAAACACAAAAAAGTGAATGCAAGCGAAGAATGCGAAAGGCTAACAGGAGAATATGAGAGAAAGGAGAGAAACGTCTCGTTCGAGTTCATGCTACCAACGGTTCCAGTCAGATGAGATGAATCCCAACGTATGTAAAAATTTTGATATGGAAACACGCGTCTAAAGACCAACAACCGAAGAAAGGACAAACAATTTTGAATGCTCTTCAATGCGCGGTAAGCTCTAGCAAAATCATGACACATATCAGACACAAAGTGTCCGTCATACTGGGTCTGGTGTGAGATTAAATGGCAAAAATGTACATTCAACGTCACGTGCCACGCATAAAAGTGTCATAAGTACGCACAGAGCTCACTATAGCGAACAAACACAAGTCACTGACTGCGACCTTAGGAAGTCCCAGTCCAATAACAGCCTTAGCGGATTGAGCAAAGCAGATCCCTCAATAATAGGTGATCATCGGTTTGTGAACCAAAAAGTCGACATCACAACCGATTGCATGTAGGGCTGAGATTATGACGGGGGAACATTCATCAGCACCGTACCTCTGCTTCTTCTCATTCCACACGGTCACTCCGCCCATCCGAGACTATGCTGACGTCTATCACAGTTGCTCGGCGATTCTCTTGTTCGACAATCACCAAAACTTATTTTTACTTGCACCAGAAACAGACAAGAAAAGTTCACAGGGTTTTGGTAGTCTTAAATCAGTGACGAAAATCAACTAGTGAATGTCGGGCGAACCTAGTACGAAATATGCACCAAACTCCCCAGTTCGCCACAGTTTCCACGACATTAGATCGTCTGGCCACCATGACCATGCCGAGTGCTTCTAGCTCTAGTCCTGAGCAGGTTGCATCGGGGCTGGTCACCGCGGAGGAATACTAAGGTGGGCGTTAATGCTAAAGTCATCATGACACAGTAAGGATGGAAAGAATTTGGGTGGGGGGGTTGAACCAACCGCATTTGGCCCACCGTAAATGACATTACGTGGTATGATCTGTGTGTACGGTATATTCTGAATGCAAGAACTGACCGATGGGATGGAGTTGAAACGATCAGTTTTTTCAAAGGATAAAATGTGGTAACTATTGACGACCAGTGTCTGTTGTTACGTTTCCCAATGATGCCTTGCTTCTTGAGCTCAAAAGTTTGCCCAAGCTACTTAAATCAATGCAAAGCTCGGCGAAAACTCGACAGCCCCTTGATCCACAGCTGCTAACTGCAGGCAAATCGACAACATCTCAATGTTGTGCTAACATCATGTGCTAACATTCCTGGTTCCCTAGCCTTCTCTAATCTGATTTCATTATGGCGCCCCATCAAACCACTGTCAGACTTGCGAAATAAGATTTCGCATACCAGAAATGCTCTTATTCGTCAGAGACATTGCTGGTAGTTAACTTCTGTTCTATACTACGGTATAGAGTCAATAAATTCTGACCGATTCACCGAAAATTGCACTGTGGCCGCTGGCATTCACCTAACATCAATAAATGGGCGTTCTGAACAATCGCGCAAGCAGTATTGTGTGCTTTAGGCGGTACCGCCCTGATTTATTGTTCCTAAGCGGCTTATATTTCCTTCCGGCTTTCAGTGACATATCATTTGTGAACATTCAACCCTGCGTGGCATCATTACACCTCCGTCTGAACTTGTTTTCTGTGCTTTACTAGGCTCTGTATATATTGACTCATGTTCATTTCGTGCGAAGTGGGTTGAGTTTACTTGTTCCGAAAATTCCCATTTATAATAAGAACACAGATAGGTTGATGAGCAGGTTTTCGGCAACGTCTTTTCAAGTCGTACAACTGTAAAGGGTAAGAAAGCAATATTTAACATATTTGAATGAGTATGGTGTACATGAACAGGAAGTTGATTGGGAGACGACATTGGCTACCTATCAAAGAACAATTAGTTCAGGTCATCAACAGGCAGTGCTGTGGTTATGTATTCAACGCAGGGTATTAGTGTGCGGGGTGGTAAGTTGGACCATGGCAGGTACAACACACGAACAAAGCGTTTTTGCCGACAAAGGATCGGGTCGCGATGTCGTATGGGGATAGCTTCAGCCACTGCAATTGTGCGTTGCTGTACTGATCTGGGTGGATTAGCCGGCGCCTTGTGAATAACGCGGAAGCTTTGGCTGGGTATCACGTTGTGTGCAGTGTCAGCTAACTGTTGTACCATAGAGCTGGTTATTGTCCTCCTAGTTCCAGAAGCTAGCCAGGGTGGATTGTGTTCCTTCATTCTTTGGCCGAGTAGCCTAGTCGTTCGTCCGATGTATTCCGCTGTACAGCAGCAAGAAAATGAGTAAACTAACATATTTTGGGCATGAACAGGCACTCTATCTTTCAGATTGATTGAACTAGGTTCGAAGTGTTGAGGCCGGAAAAACTTTGTTCAATCTGATAAAATGTCTTGTGTTCACTAGTTTGGTCGTTATATCTCCATTAAACTAGAGGCCATTGTACACGGGTTTTCTTCCCATGGTGGCGGCGACGGTGTTGTCTTCTCCTTTGTTCAAGTGATTTATAATAAACTTGAGGGGCGAACCCGTTAGGACATTGGCGAGAGTCAGGATTCTAGCACCATGGTCCAACTCACTTCCCCTCATACATGTAACCTGTGCTGAACACACAACTACAGCACCGCCCTCGCTGACGAACTCAGGTCACCTTTTTGGTGACGAGAACTAATTGTTTTTTGATAGGTAGCCAATGTCGTCTTAAACTCGACTTTCCGTTCATGTACACCAGGTTTATTCAAATATGTTAACTACTGCTCTCTTAAATTTGCAACTGTATGATGTGAAAAGATCTTGCCAAAAACATGTTCACCAATCCATCTGTGTTCTTATTATAAATGGGAATTTTCGGAGCAATCAAATGTCCAGTAGTTCTTTACGTTCAAGTAAATTCAACCCACGTCGTACCAAATGAACATGAGTCACGTGCAATGTATACGGAGCCTAGTAAAGCGCAGAGAAATAGTTCGGACAGAGGTGTACTGCTGCCACGCAGTTTTGAATGTTCACAAATGATATGTCGCTGAAAGCCGGAAGGAAATATAAGCCGCTTAGGAACAATAAATCAGGGCGGTACCGAAAAAGTGGTGTTCAATTTGATCCGACTAAAGCACACAATACTACCACGAGATTGTTCAGAACGCCCATTTTTTGATGGTGTGGAGAATGCTGGCGGCCACATTGCAGGCAGCCAATGTCGTATCTTACCGGACTGCCTCTTACCACGCTCATACAAACGTGTTACTTGCTGCTGTAAATAACCTTTGCAATTGCATGACTAGAAAAAACCTTGCCGAGATCGTCCATATTTGATTGTATCGTTATTGTTGTTTTCAATAGTAGAATACTTCTAATATCCGGCTCAATTACTGGACAGTTTGTTTCTCTGAGCCTGGTTTTTGTGACAGTGTCAGCTTTTGCTAAACGCCTAACTGAAGAATAATATAGACTTATCAGGTCTTCTGAAGGTGGATATTGGTAGTCCTAGAATTAGCGAAGTAACAAAATCAGAACGGAACAGTTGCACTTTTGTGCATAGGATCTTGAACGCACCTTCAGAGTGACCGTGAGACATTGTTGGGAGGGAGGTCTTGCTATTTATATATACACGGCGATTACCACTTGTTGCCAATCCAGCTGGAACTTATAGGGATGGATCCACGCGAATGTCACGTGACTCTCTCATTTGTACCAGTGTCCTTCAATCAAATGTATCGTTACATCATACTTCATGGAGCACGTCAAAATAATGTACCTTAAGTAGGATAAGAATTTTCCTCAAAAGTGGAAAAGATACTTTTCAAAAAGGCGAAATGTCTCTAATCTGGAGGTAGCACTTGATGCTCAATCGATATTTGTTCGACAATACCAAAGTTCGACAAGGAGTAATATGACGAACGAGTGGGAAAAGGTTATATATATATGTATATATTAATATATATATAAAGGGAAGCGTTGGTGTTGGGGAACAAGTTTGCTTCCTAAAGGGGCACAACCTGCACGATTATGCATACGAAACCGATGAGCAGCAGCAAGAATTAAAAAACACAGATCAGGACTTATGGGGATTTCAAAGGAGATGAGGAGTGCTCAAAATGATTAGTCTAGCTTTGACGGGACATTTGTATAACATTGACGAGTACAATGCAAGGGAATAACTCGGGGGAAAAACCGCACCTTGTTAGGCAATGTGACTGGGACGAGGTCATTAACAGTGCTCTTCAGACAGAGAGAGAATCAACCGGTCAGGCGACTTAATGAGAAGGCGGAGTACTTAGCAGAGCAAAGCTTGCGTGGAAGGAGGTGTACTTCCACAAAAAAGAAAGCACTTAGCACACATCCAACCATAAGTCCATCTCGTTCCAGACCAGGCTAACCACTGTATCTAGTATGCCGAAGTTTGTTCCATGAACATATCTAGAGGAAGTGTAAACAAAGAGTATGGGGGGAAGAAATCACGTGGTTCTAATTACAGGGCAAAGAAAGGCAGACCAACTTTGAGTTGTCCAAAGAGTGTCCAGTTTCAAAAATAAAACCAGAATGGGAATGTTTGATGGTGCTGTAAAAGCATCTTCGTTGTACAAAAATTGCTGTTACTTTTTTTTCACCGTTCCATATCGGTTTAAGAACTAGAATAAGAAGACTTAAGATAAGTATAAAACTTGGGGTGACCACATCAAGACTGGTTGCTATAGTGGCGGAGGGTGCGAAGAGCGAGAAATGTATACGGAATTTATTCCGGATAAAACGTCAATAAGACATGGTTTCGCGGAAGATGAGCATGCAAGTGAACTTGCAAGGGACGGATTAATGCTTAGTACAATCACGAAAATATGGGCAGCCGAATTGAGCGGATGGTATTAAGGAAGATCGGGCGAAGATGAGGATCCCGTGCATATTGATTTTCAGCAGACAATTGAGTACGAAACGTTCGCAGCTACTGCCCACCAAGGAGTGTTTAATCAATACCACGAAAATGTGGTCCATCAGTCTTGAGAGAAATCAGTGTGACAATTAAAGATGACTGAGCTTGGTGGACTTCTATGATAGGAATGAAATGGATGAGCTAGAGTTAGCTGAGTAGTTCATGGGCCGAGTTACTGTGTGTTCATCGAAACCAACCTCAGCCTCTCAGCTGCACATATCTGGTCTTGTACGAGCTGGAAGTGCTTAAAATTCCTGTCCCCACAGATGGAGAAGCAGTGAGCTAGCCAGAGGGTGTTATTTGACTGGCTGAAGTGAATGTAGAAGATATCAGCCATTTTCGGGTACTGCTAGCAATTCAAAGAAAATGGACAACATTTAGAAAAACTGTGGCATCTTGATGCAAACATTCAAGTTTTCGAGATCAAGGTCGAATAATGCTACTCAATCTAAGGAATCCCTCTCGTCGACAGTATCAGCTGGAGGCATTAGAAGAAATCTATTTGCACCACAACAGTAACACACAGTCGATGAGACCACTTTCACGAAACTGAGACTGCTTTTCAGTGAATATGGATTGCGAATCGATCACTCGCCAGCAGGGACCTCAATCCCAATAAGGACGTTCATGATCAGATAACGATGACGGCCCAACTTAAGGCAGCTTATTTGATAGAACCCTTGAGTTCACTTCACGGATTGTGTGCGCTGCGTCATTCTGGACGATTGAAATCATTTCCAAAAACAAATATTGTGACATCTCCAAAATATCATCGCTAGAACCCCTAGTGGTAATTACACACTACAGCTAGATTGGATTTTTTCCACTGAGATAACCGATTGTGAAACCAGAATTTCCTAGTGTTGGGCAATCACTTTCGTTACAAAGGTTCACCATTTGCAGCTCGCACACAAATTCATTCAATTTTTCTCAGATTAGCAAAGCCGTTTTTGTCATGTCAAGCAAAACTGCAGTTAATCATAACATGCACCAATTTGTAAGCTATATTTTCGTCCATCTTGGGTTAGAAAACTACACATCTCATGACCCTCCCATATCCTCTCTGGTTTTTTGTCGTGATGAGATGAATTAAAGTGCAATCTGTTGGTACCAATCGGGAAATCTGTTTCACTATACTGTGTATACAAGATTGTTGAAAAGCTCAGCGTTCAACTATGTGCCAGACGGCTGGTTTGGAAAGTACAAACTGACCTCCAGAACGGTCAGAATGCCACTAGTACTCTGCGGTTCCAGATAAACAGACGGAAACTTAACAGTACTCGGCAAAGTACACGTCTTTTTTTAATGTGCCGTATGAACCTCGACTTGGCCTGACCTGAGAGACGGATAGAGTCCCTGTAGCTGATACCAGTGAGTCTCTAAACAATCACTTGTAAACTTGTGATGTTATGACGGGTCGAGTGGTAGATGTCTATTGATGAAAGTACAGTGGGAGGTGCTGAGGTGCTCACTGAAGATGTGCGCGATTCAGATATCACGTATCGTTCAAATTTTATCATGTTCTTAGTAAATTTGTAAATCGTTCAAACTCCCAAGAGTAGTCTTATCGAAGAGGGGTCACTCACCTGAACAAACCCGAACAGTATGCTGTGTTATCCCCAAATTCAGAGGAATTTCTACCCGGGACAGTTCAAATGTCCCGCTTTACAGAGTATTCCCATTTCGGAGGGATTTCTGTAGAGCGATAACTTTGAAAAGTCAAAGCGATCCAAGTTAAGGATCCCCACTTCTGTGCAGGTCAATTAAAAACTGGTCATTACTCCAAGGAATTAGGACACTTTCCGTAAAGATCATTTTTTTGCCCAAAAAAGAGACTACAACCTGGCGACTAGGTTTACGTATGTGCTTGGTTTGACTGTATTTGTTTTTTTTCTTCGACGAAACAAATTGTACACGCAGGCCCGCTTATCACACAAGGAAGCTTGGTCAAATAAGCTTCTACAAACTGGCACAATTCACCTGATATTCATGAAAGGAAATTTGACACCGAGCGAAATAGACCAATGAAGCATTGGCAGATAGAAAGAATGCTAAGTAAACTTGGTTTGCTATTTTTCAAAGTAACTCGGTTTTTGTTACAGTCACTTAACGGCCCTCACCATTTACAAAATAACGTTTGTATTCGTTTCTTTTCATTGGATGCCTTCAGACGTAAAATTCACCACGAAAAATGATCTAGAATGTTGTTTAGTAGGGGAAAATTTCTTGTTTCTCTAGATGCTAACTAAGGTTGACATTCAGGCAGAATCTCACGTGCAATCAATCGGAAACCGTGCCTGGAGACCCCTTATCAACGTAAAAAAAAGTCAGTCTTTGAACGTTGGTCGAGTGATCTCACTGTCACGATTTCCTTCAAACCGCAGATCTTTTCGTCTACAAAAAAGCATATTTGGTAATAAAAGCGGTAAATGCCAGGTGATTTTCATTATCAGAGAGCCTAATCTAATTCTCCCATAGTCGAATAACCCTGAAGTTTCACTGGGGAGAAAACGAGAAGGATAGAGTGAATACTTACCTAGTGCTACAGTACTTAGAGGTACTGTGAGGTTTTCGACAGCTTTAATATTGACAGTTTGCTCTGCGTATTTAAAACAGCATTTTCAGTTCTTTCTAGCCACAAACATAAGCATCGTTTTTTCTCGCGAGTGAATGCCAATAACCATAGTTATTCAGGATTAAACAAGCAGTGATTTTGCCTCGCACTTTAGTGAGTCATGCTGTAATCTTCAGTCCTTCTCACAAAAGTTGAGCAGAACATGCAGTGTTTTGAGCTAACTGATGAATATGCAGCGTATCTGACTTTTGGCTGTCTACTTTGAACTTTTCTCTCGCTTACAGAGTTTCTAAATGTACTTCAGTAACTGTTGGAACGAAATGAAGCCAAACCTCGCCCACGTTTGGTGTACATCTGGAAACGTTTTGAGCCCAATTGTACATTCACGGCCTTTGTTCAGGATAGCATCGTCTTTCATCCTTTTGTGAGACGTATCCATCTCCAATTTGCTCTACCTCTATTTCTTTAAGTTTGTCACAACAATCTGAAGTGAATCTTCTCTTTTTTAAACAAGGAACTACATTTTGTTTCTATCCGCAGATACTCAATTACGCAATTACGTTGCCTTATTTTAAATACATGTTTACAGCTCACAAGCAACAATCGCTTTCATGATCCTGGTGTCAGGTGCTGACAAATTGAAACAGTTACCGATAATAACAGAAACCTCGTTTCCAAAAGACCGCTTCACCCACAATTACAGAACCGATCATTAGCTTTCAATAAAAAAGGAATCCTGTTGAACAGAATTATTCAGTGCTTGTGACAAATTTTGCATCGGAACAGAATTGTTATCTGATTGGACCCTGAGCTTTACTTGAAGGCAGACTGGTACATTTCAGGCTGCGTTCTCTGCAGAGGCTGGTCCAAATATCCCAAAATTTGGGGCCACAGACTGTGAGCATCTTAAAGCGTGTAACCTTCATGTCATGTTCAGTGAGCTACTCCATTAGGCCAAGATTTTGGCTGAGCGTTTTCTGCATCAAGTCGCCTTTACGATGAACCTTCCTCAATCAAACAACTTGCCGTCCCACCGCTCCTACTGGCAAGGTGAAATCACGTGCCCTCTTTGTCATAAAAATCCGTAAAATTGATAGATACACTGATTTTTTTAGTTCAGTTGGTTCTTCAGTGTAAAATGTTGAGGCAAACCAACCAACAACTTAAATACTATAATTCAGATTATTCCGAGTTTATTCCATGACATGTGGGTTCAGCCCAGTAGAAAACGTTTCTCGGTATACTGCATTCCACGTCATAACTTATTGGAATGATTATGGGTTTTGACTTGTTTGCCCAAGTGGAAACATAAAATGGGTGTATCATGGTGTGTACTGACATCTTGCAGAAACGATTCTTCATTGTTGCACAAGAAAACAAAAACGGAAACGCTGCTTACCTCAGAGAATCCAACACGAAACAAAATACGCTGCGCAAAACGATTGTCATGGTCTAAGAAATCGATCACGAAGAATGCCTCGGTTTGTTCCCATAAAACGCCTTGCGTGAAGCACATTGAGGGACTCTTTGATGCACAATCACTCGTGCTAAACGCCGGTTAGAACGTCACGTTCGCTTTTTGCATTCGCCCATCTTATCATGGTACGATGAGACGTGTTGCCCTTTATCTCATGCTAACCTCACGAAGCATGTGGAACAACACTTGGTACCATTTCAGTGAACAAGCGTTTGATCATATTATTTTGGAAAATTTCTCCTTAAAACATTAAGGAAGCGCGTTTTTGCCACTTGAACCAAATAAGTTAAATTCTGAATTAAACTCGTCCACACCTATTTGAGGTCAGGAACAACTTCAAGTTGAGGATTATAGGAGTTAAAAATGGCATTTTAGCTGTGCCTACACAGTACATTAAGCCCCGGACGGGTTAAAATCTACACATCGTCTGAGTGACGGAACAGAAGTATACATTTGATTACCTGTTTTTCGTAAGGTCTGTTCATGGCAACAGGAAGAACATAAAAGAGGTCAGATTAGCAGTCGTATTAACCACTGAAGGCGATCATAAAGCTGTTCTGCATAATTATTAGGCGTTTAAACTATTCCTAAACGGTAGAACAGACGGAAGATTTGCACGCTTTACATAATGTTGGGGAGCAATTACCTTCCACTCTCAGTGTTGTTCGGGTCATTAGATACTGGTCTATTTTCTGCTCCACAAAAATGTTCAACTTGCCAGCTTGTTATCCACTAGATCATAGCTCCACCGTGCCTCCTGGCATGGAATCTATACAAAGGTTGATTAAAGTCCGTGAACCACTCAGATTGTTGTCGTGAAACAGAAATTAAGAGGCCACGGTACAGGTGTGAGGTTCATTCTCGTCAAAAGTTTGAAAGTGTGGTATGGACAGGTTTAAAGGAAAGTTGCCTGAGAACGTCACAACCTCTCAGGACTGGATGTACATGCAAGCATTTAAACACCAGTTTATTAGAGGTAATTCTTGAACTTACAATGTGCACCTCCTATCATGTCTTTTCGGAAACCAGCGCTCGAAGTCTAGTTAGCATGGTTGTCGTTCATTCCCACACTGCTGACCCGTGAAAATGAGCACATAACGCGAGAGTACACCCAAGACGCAGATGTTCATTTGCAATCGAGTTTGGTTACTTTAAACCTGGCTTCACTTTTACTAAACTCTGACAATACGCCAAATTCTGAAAGCGAACACAATATTATGTAATTTAATATAACTAGGTAATATAATATGACAGTGTACTGTAATATAATACTACACTATGTGACGCAATATAGGATGGTACGACATAACATTTGGATGAAACTTTATAATTAACATAATACAATATAATAAATTAGATATAATATTATAAGACTCAATATAATAAAATATAATATGTTATAATACGATATACTGTAGCGGAATATAATGAATTGTAATATAGTATATAATATAACTGTATGTATAATTATTGAGCTGCTTTATGAAAGGAGAACAAGCCTTGCAGCATTTTTGCTTCCATTCAAATATCTCTTTGGGAGTAGATGAGATGTTGTACCTGAAAATATTTAACGGTTTTTTTGTGTTTGTCATCTTTGGCCATACAGTTACCACTTACTCATCATTTGATAGGCACCGAAACGTAACTGCACTGGAACTCATTCGGTGATGATTGCATCTTCTCCTCAGAGAACGATAAACTAACATCCGTAACTTAGTTTTTTACTCCCTACAACTTTCTAAAGAAGTAAGGCGGGAGCCGGCGTGTTGCTCTGTCAAGAGCAAATTCACTTCAGGGCACATGATGGTGCAGCAACGAAATGTGGATGTCAGCACTCGTCGAGAAGTACTGGCGACCAGAATTTAACTTGTGTATCCCTGGAGTCACAAGAGTGATGCTAAGTGCAGTGACCGAATAAATGGTAAACTTTGAATACAGCCTATGTTATCGGTTGGGGGTGAGATGGCTATTGATCTGTTCGCCGAGCTTGGCAATTGACTTGTAAACGGTTCGTCAGGGCGCAGATGGGTGGGTACTCTCTGTTTGCCTACCTGAGTTTGTATAGCATATGGAGACTATCCGTTATCTCCTGATGTGATTTGCTAGTCAGTTTTTGCGTTTTTGTCACATTTATTGGTTCGTTTGTGATCTGTGCTGCGTTGTGGTTTGCGTTCTTTCAAGTCGGTTGGCCATCCCAAGGACTTCTACTTTAGACAGTTCCGCCCCCGTTCTGATTGGCTTATTTCTCCATTTTTATCACGTTATGGTTTGATTTCTCTTTTTTGGGAGTGATTGGCTGGCTACCAGCCATCTGATCAAAAACCAATAAGCCCACCCAGCTACCAGTATTTCGACACAGGGGATGATGAAAAAATTATAACGAGGAATGATAACAAGAAAAATGGAAATTATATAACGATCATGACGACATACAACTGAACCACCCGGGGGAAGTGAAAACGAGGTTTTAAATTCGGTTTACTAAGTATTTATCTTTTGGACTGATGAAAGTAAAATTAATATGCCCCGTATTAATTTAAGACTAGTGGATAATGCACCTTTTTCTAACCAAATCGCCACTGTAAATGCACAGAAGTTCGGACTTAGGCTTTGCTTCAACAGTCCACTTAGGGGGAGCAATTGTCCCCAGTGTAATCTATTTTTTTCATTATATAAGCTCCTGATGTTATACGGTTTGTCCCCCAGCACAGACACTGATAGAAATTTGGAAATTCGGAAGTACCTGAAAGATAATAAAAATTCTTTGTGAGTTTTCACGAAATTCAATAAAATTTGTTCATATATAGAAAAGCGATCAACCGAGTGTTGGTGTCTGTACAAAGAATGTGTTTGGCTTCCTTGCTGCATGCTCGGTTGTATGATTGCATATCGACGTAGCTCCTCGTAAGCATCATGTTTCAAAAGACAGGCCATGCGTATAAAATAAACCTACGGGTCAGTGAAACATACGCGTTGAGGGGTACCACAGTATGGGCACCTTAAGTAGTTTGTTTCGCCTACAGAATGACAATGCCTGGGCTTTTTTACAGAATAGATAGAACAAAATATCAGTAACCAGTCCACAGTAACTTAATCAATTATATGCGGATCCATGATCAGCTAACTTAGGGTTGATCGACAACCGGCAGGATCGGGGCTGTATTCTAGTTCGGAAATATGGTCGATAAATTCGTAAATTCAGACTTTTCACAAAGCACTTACTTCAGTTGTTTGCAATACCGGCATTTTACCCAGAAGATGGCAGAATATAGGGCAACTTTCAATAGAGATTTCGTCCCATCAGTGAGAGCGATCTAAGCTGAACGGTCGAGAAGCAGAGTACGGTGCCGGAAGGTCGTGGGCTTGAAACTCTCTGAATGTGGTGAGATGGGCATCGTTGGTGATCATCAACAAGTGCGAAATAGATGCACAGTGTTCCTTCAACGGGACAAAGGCTCTGTCGATTATTTTGTACAGTTACTGGACCATGTGATGTGGGCGCCCAATGAAACCGTATCAACAGGTTAGCTTTACTCTGATTACTCTCTCACTCAGATTACTCTGATTCACCAATAAAACCAATGGTACTTATTGATTAAGAACAAGAGAGATTCTTTTGGAAGTTACAAAGAGTCTCCCACTTCATGCCATCAAATGGGTGTTTGATATCCAATTTCTGATTTTGAAGATGTGAATCTGCTTCCTCAACGTTTCGATAAAAATACTCAAACAGCAGGTTATTTTAAGGACGGAGATGTGGAGAAAACCCTGTTTCCTGCGAGTTTTTGTTGTCTAGTGTATCAGGATTTCATAGAACACCAGAAATAACGTGAAAGAAAAAGAAAACTGAGGCACAACGGGGGTTGGATGAGGAGTACACGGTCAAAAGGGTCACGGAAGCAAGTAACTGACATACTTTCTGGTGGAACCAGATTTTTACCGCACGAGTTCTAGGAGCTGTACAAGTTTCCACTGAATGCAGAGATGCGTTTCCAACACTCGGATCTCAATGATAGATAGTAGTCTTGATCGTACTAGCTGTGGTCGTTCCCTGGGTACCCGAAATAGGACACAGAGAGACATGCACTTTGTCAATAAAAATGTGATAG